CGTTTCTTTTTATGGCTGAGTAATATTCCATTGTATATATGTGCCACATCTTCTTTATCCATTCATCCGATGATGGACACTTAGGTTGTTTCCATCTCCGGGCTATTGTAAATAGAGCTGCAATGAACATTTTGGTACATGACTCTTTTTGAATTATGGTTTTCTCAGGGTATATGCCCAGTGGTGGGATTGCTGGGTCATATGGTAGTTCTATTTGTAGTTCTTTAAGGAACCTCCATACTGTTCTCCATGTGTGATCTTTCTTGGGATGAAATTGAGATTATACGTTTTGGACAATACCAGAGAAGTGTCACTGTCCTTTATCAGTGTACCATATTGGGAAGTGCACAATGTCAGTATGTCTTACTGGTGATGTTAAATTTGATCAGTTGGTTAAGTGGTGTCTGCCAGATTTCTCCACTATATTTTTCCCCTTTGTAATTGTATCCTGTAAGGAGATATCTTGAGACCATGCAAAATCCTGTTTCTCATCATACGTTTATCCAATAATTTTAGCACACATAGATGTTTCTTGTCTGCAACAATTCTTACAATGGCATTTGCCTAATGACGTTGTTTTTTTTCCCCATTTTTGCCATTTCTTCTACATTTAATTGGGATTCTGTTGTGTATGGACACAAGGATGTTTATTCAATGGATTATAACCCATTACTGTCAATATTTCTTTTCTTGCTCAAGTTGTCCAAGATTTGGCCACTGAGAGCTCAGGTTGGTTCCTGTGTCCTTTCAATATGCCCCTATGCTCTCAGTGTCCATAATATACTTATTCATTTTCTCAATCCTAATATACACATGAAATACTTTCAAAATTGCTAACTGCTACTCCTGTGAAAAAACTAATTGACTAATTAGAGTACATTCAGTATTTGTGTGCAGTTCCTTTTTTCTGTTGCTTTATAGTACCCCATCAAAATACTGTAATTTTATTTTTTCCCCACCCACTTCAGTGTGGTTGAATTATTTGAAATGGGTTTTCATTTGAAATAGGTTTTGTTAGTTTGTATTCCATGTTAAATTTCTCTTATCTCCTGGTTGATTTTAATCATGATTTGGGAATCAGAAACATTATATGGTTCTAAGAGTCAGATACAAGCAAAGATATACTCAGAAGCATCCCATCCTCTTCATCCTTTATAAACTGTTATCATTTCCCTCTTCTTTCCACTCTCTGTAAATAAGCAATTCATTAGTTCCTGGCTCATTTTTCCTTATGTACAAATGAGCAGACACACGTGTATTTTTCTTACACTCTTTCCTTACATGACAAGTAACACTGACAAATTCCCCTCAAGGACTGAATCAGTTTGCATTCCTACCAGCTGTGTATGAGAGGACCTGTTTCCACACAGCCTTGCCTGGTGGGTTGTGGTGGTGTACTTATTTTTTGCCAACCCAAGAAATGACAAATGTTATGTCAATATTGTTTCAATTTACATTTTTCTGATCTTGAAGTGAGTTTCAACATTGTTTTTCATGTTTAAGGGTCATTTTTATACCTTTGTGTGAGAGTTTGTCTGTTCAATTCTTTTCCCAGTTTTTCTATCAGGTTTTTGATCCCTTGACAATTCTTTTTTTTTGGGGGGAGGGGGGAGGAGTTTATTTATTTATTTTTGCTGTGTTGGGTCTTCGTTTCTGTGCGAGGGCTTTCTCTAGTTGTGGCAAGCAGGGGCCACTCTTCATCGCGGCGCGCGGGCCTCTCGCTATCGCGGCCTCTCCTGTTGCGGAGCACAGGCTCCAGATGCACAGGCTCAGTAGTTGTGGCTCACGGGCCTAGTTGTTCCGCGGCACGTGGGATCTTCCCAGACCAGGGCTTGAACCCGTGTCCCCTGCATTAGCAGGCAGATTCTCAACCACTGCGCCACCAGGGAAGCCCCGACAATTCTTTATAGTAGGAATATTATTAACCTTTTGTCTATGATATGTGCTGTAAATATTTTCTTCCAGTCTTTTGACTGGTGTTTCTTGCCAAGCATTTTTTTTTCATATGTAGTCAAATGTATCAGTCTTTATTGCCTCTGGATGTTTCACCCATGTTTCCTTTTAGTATCTGTATGGTTTCATTTTTAACACTTAGACCCTGGATTCACTTGGAGTTTATTCTTGCATACGGCATTAAGTATAGATCTAATTTCAACTTTCTCCAAATGGCTTTCCATTTGGCTCAGCACCATTTATTAAAAAGTTCACTTTTCCCTGTGATTTGAGATTCTCACCATCTCCCCACACAACCTCTCACTGCCCCCCACCAAGACTTGGAGGAGCATCTGAGCCGAGAGCATGGCATGGCACACAAAGACTAACCGAACTATCGAGCTTCCTTCCGTGCAAGGATGCAACTGGGAGAATAAGGCTCAACTCAAAAGATCCAGGAGGGGGAAGAAAAGGGCTGGAGAGGTCACAGTGCGATGGGAAGGCAAAAAAACAACCAAGGAAGCTGGATGGTGATGAGACAGAATGAAGCTGAGATAACAAGCAGCACAGGAGACAGAAACAGAAGAGTCAGTCCCTGGCATCACCTCAGCTCACCTGTCCCACTGCCACAAACTCTTCTGGCAGAAACAGCCCAGAAAACAAGCTCCAGAAATCCCGAGATGTCACTCTAGTCAGAATGGGCATCATCAAAAAATCTACAAACAATAAATGCTGGAGAGGGTGTGGAGAAAAGGGAACCCTCTTGCACTGTTGGTGAGAATGTAAATTGACACAGCCACTATGGAGAACAGTAAGGAAGTTCCTTTAAAAACTAAAAATAGAACTACCATACAACACAGCAATCCCACTACTGGGCATATACCCTGAGAAAACCAAAATTCAAAAACAGACATGTACCACAATGTTCATTGCAGCTCTATTTACAATCGCCAGGACATGGAAGCAACCTAAGTGTCCATCAACAGATGAATGGATAAAGAAGATGTAGCACATATATACAATGGAATATTACTCAGCCATAAAAAGAAACGAAATTGAGTTATTTGTAGTGAGGTAGATGGACCTAGAGTCTGTCATACAGTGAAGTCAGTCAGAAAGAGAAAAACAAATACCATATGCTAACACATATATATGGAATCTAAAAAAAAAAAAAGGTTCTGAAGAACCTAGGGGCAGGACAGGGATAAAGACGCAGACGTAGAGAATGGACTTGAGGACACAGGGAGAGGGAAGGGTAAGCTGGGACGAAGTAAGAGAGTGGCATGGACATATATACTCTACCAAATGTAAAATAGATAGCTAGTGGGAAGCAGCTGCACAGCACAGGGAGATCAGCTCAGTGCTTTGTGACCACCTAGAGGGGTGGGATAGGGAGGGTGGGAGGGAGGGAGACGCAAGAGGGAAGAGATATGGGAACATATGTATAATTGATTCACTTTGTTATAAAGCAGAAACTAACACACCATTGGAAAGCAATTATACTCCAGTAGAGATGTTTAAAAAAGAAAAAGAAAAAAATCCTGAGATGTGATCAATGAGAAAATACGCAGCCACAACAAAGGAGGAATTCTCCTCAAGTTAAAAAGATTTATTACAATTCTAGCCTTCATGTGAGCCCAGAACCCGGGGCTGGTCATGGGTGATTAAGTTGTCATGAGAGGACAGGACAGTGAACAAAGCCAGGCACGTGACATGAGTCCACCTCTCTTCGCTGGATCCCTGCTCCACAGAGTGGCTGCTGGTGGGTCCGCCTGTTCAGCCTCTGCCCCACTCACCCTGACAGTGCTCCAAGGCCAGGGCAGGCAGCCTCGTGATCCCTGAGCTCACAGCTCTGAGGCCGCCTCCACTCCCCCAGCACTGGAGGAGCATTCTAGGGTCAGGCACTATGGCTTTGACCCGATGGAGGGAGACACAGTGGTGGAGGAGTTGTCTCAAGGTTAAAAGGACAAGGCATGCATGTTCTTATATCCAAGGCCACGAACTGGCCACCCATGAGCCAACCAGATTTCCCCAGTGACAAGTCTGTTTGGCCCCTTCTGCCTGCTCAGTATTTAAAAAAATAATTCGTTGCCAATATTTAAAAATTGATTTCATATAAAAGTCTGGATTTCTGGCTTCTCGAGTGAAAAAGAAATTGAGAATATTTGGCAATGCTGGGCCCATACTCTCCTGTGGTACTCACTAGCTATAGCTAGATAGCAGCTGTCCCTACGGACCAGATGTGCCCTTCCCAACTCACCCCACTCCCCACATCCCTGATTATACCCCCAGCTCGAGACTGGGCAGCAGCTGCCTCAGATCAGTTATGTTATACAAAGGAAAAAATGGAACATGTGCTGGCAAACAACATGTTCCTTGTGGTCTCATCACGTACTGATGTCTTGCGCTTTGCCCTGCAGGTACCTGAGTTCGCAGACTATCTTAAACACAGAGCATTCTCAGATATCTCTCCCATCACATGCCCTGCCTCTCCAGGATACACTGTGCCCCACTGTTAACTGGGCAAGTCTAGAAAAGAATACTAAATCATAGACGTTAATGGAGGAACAGACTGAGATTGACTCCTTCAGACCCTTCGTTGTAAGAGGGGGGTGGGAGTAAAATGAAAACTGTTAGTACTCTCCCTCTGCTTTTAGGTCAGCGATGCACACAAAAAATCAATGAGAAAAATCATAAAGGTACTTCAGGAGACCAAGACTGGGTCAGCCTGAACGTGGGGTCACAAAATGTGTTAGCCCCCTTCCTTGACCATTTAGAAAATGAGTTGAGCTCTTAGAGAGAAAGCCATGGGGGTGAGGAGGAAAATGCAGTGGCCAGCCCAGTAGATGTCCTGGGCTGTCAAAAACCACCAGGCTCGGGGCTTTCCTGGTGGCGCAATGGTTGAGAGTCCGCCTGCCAATGCAGGGGATACAGGTTCGTGCCCCAGTCCGCGAAGATCCCACATGCAGAGCGGCTGGGCCCGTGAGCTATGGCCACTGAGCCTGCGCGTCCGGAGCCTGTGCTCCGCAACGGGAGAGGCCACAACAATGAGAGGCCTGTGTACCACAAAACAAAAAAGCAAAAAAACAAACAAAAAAACCACGAGGCTCATTCTCCTTTAGGTTAGGGCTGCTGGCCCACACCTAAAAATTTTGTAGGTGGCATAAAATGACTTTCAGCGGGGGAGTGTCATCATTGTAGAAAGGGGCTTGAGAAAGGACAGAGAGTAGAATCTGGCCTTGGCCAACGTAAGACAGAAGAAGAGGATGCCTTCCTACATCCCCTTCATTCTGCTGTGGCAGGTGCCACCTTATTTGCTCTTTAGGGAGGCGGAGATTTTGACACAGCCCAGATGCTCCCCGTTGATGCTTAGGGTGATCTTCGAGCGGTAGTTCCCACTGCTGAGCCAGCTGGGCAGCTCCAGGTCAGGCAGGAAGAAGTCAGACTTGGGAAGTGAGTAGGTACCCTGTGGGAAAGGCAGTGGACCACAGGTCAGTGAGAGCCTACAGATGGGACTCTCTCCTGGAGTGACCTCTAGGAATGCAGCTGCAAACCGCCCCTCCTCCCACCCTCCTAAGAGCCAGGCAGAGCACAGAATGTGACAGCAAAAGGACACCAGAGGTCAGATCGAGCTTCAGGTCTCCCATTCACAGCTGGATAAACCGAGGCCCCCAAAAGATAAGTGATTCAGGATAGATCAGATCAATTTACACCCACAGACATCCAGGTCTGCAAGAGAACGTCTCCAAACCCCATGTCTCTACTCTAGTCACGGTGGGAATGCTCTCCCCTCCCTACACTTACTCGTTTGAAGGGACAGTGACAGGGAAGCCCATAGGTGTGCAGGGGTTCTGGGCAGGGATTCTCATCGGGAGTTAACACTTCAAGCACATTACAGAAGTTCTCGTAGGTGCAGCTGCCAAGTTGCTCCACACATGGGACTTTGACCCAAAAGCCAGCCACTTCCTTCTCCAGAGTTAGTACCACCTGGTGAGAGAGTTGGAGAAAGTGTAAAATTCCAAGGCAAACATACCAGTTCCTCCGCCTCTTTAAAAGGTCAGCCTTTTATTTTAACAGAGTCTTTAATTGGATGGGATCTGGGAGATATTCTGATCGAGAAATGACAGTATTGTGGCACATGCTCCAACACTATCCTTTCCTGTGCCCGTAGCTGACATTAATAATCGAATGTAACATTTTTCCCCCTGCACTGAACCACAGTCTTATAATTCTTTAGGGAGTCACTACCCATTGGTTGAAGTTGAAATGCACTTGTCATCTAACTGCTAATTGGCTAACTGTGGCACTGCTTCTAGACTTTCCTTCTCAGCCCAATCTTGGCTTCAGAACCTTTTCCTTCAGAGGACTTCAGGCAGCTACCGCCAACTGATTGGAGTTGGTTACCAAGATGAAACCCATCTGCTATTCTTGGATCCTATTTTCTCTGTACAGCCATAGAAGACAGAACTGAAAACAATAGGAATTTACAGAGGGATCATTCTGGGATTGCTATTAGGAAGATCTTAACAATCATAGTGAAGTTACAACAGATGGAACTACCTCAAGAAGAGATGGGCTGCCTGGACCCTGTTGCGGAAGCTACAAAAGGACTCCTGCACCCAGAGAGAAGCTGGATGGGGAGACCTGTGAGTACTTCACACCTCTGTGCTGCCACGATTCTGCTCCTGTTCTGGAGGTGGGGGCTGACCAGTTGTGCATGGCACGGGCTAAGCATTCACTAAGTATTAGCTGCCTGAGAGCCAAATGAGTGGTGCCTTAGGGACCATGATCGTATCCCCCCAGAGGTGTCAGGGAGAAGTGTCGGGAAAGGGCAGGAGGAAGTCTGATTCTCTGTGGGTGTAACGGCAGGAAACCACTCTCGGCTGTAACATCACAGCATTCTATGAATCCCAGCCCCCAAGTTCACTTGATTCAGGGCTTTTGTTTCTAAGAGACAAATCCTGGATGGGCACTATTCCCCTTGAGCCTGCTGGGCTCAGACTGGCTCCCCAGGCTGTGGACTCAGTCTTCCAACTGCCCCAGGTGTCAGGATCCAGGTCCAGGAGGAAGGGATAAGTCCGCGCAGCCTGTATGCTGAGTGGACAAACTCAAATTTGCCTCATCCCACTCTGCTGACCCACATGTTACTCCCCACCCCGAGTCATGCACGGTCCCCTCCCAGCCCTCCTGTCTCCTCTCCTGCCAAGCCTGCTTCAACCCCTTTGCCTAGAAAGAGCTGAGGGCCTGGAGTAGAATGCTACTTCGGCCACTTCCTACTCTTGTGCCCTTGGGGAATTTCTTCTGTCTCCATTCCCTTATCTCCAAAATGGGATATTTTAAGAGTGTCTGCCTCTCTCACAAGGTCCCACTGAGTGCGACAATGCCTGTCAAACACTTAGCATAGTGCCTGAAATCCAAAAATTACTTCCTGCTGGACTTCTCCCCTCCATACCCCTCCTTGTTTTGCTAACACCCCAATGAAAATGGTTGAGCCAGTTCTGCCCTGAACAAGAAAGAACACCCAGCTGAGGGGACCAGCGGGGACCAAGTCCTGCCTGGGCTCCTCTTACCACACTGGAAGCCTGTGGGGCTGCATCCACCAGGAGCCAGGCCTCTCCCAGCCAGGACAAGCACAGCACAGGAGGTACTCAGCGGGGGCACCCCGAACTTAAGGCAACAGCCATGCCTGCCGTTTGGGGATTACAAACCATGGCTGATTTTCCAGTCCTTGTTCTCAGTCTACTTGTTCCTATGGCTCAGAAGAGCAAGCAGGGGGAGTTCCCTGGGCTGTCCAGTGGTTAGGACTTGGTGCTTTCACTGCCATGGGCCCGAGTTCAATCCCTGGTTGGGGAACTAAGATCCCACAAGACGTGCGGTGTGGGCAAAAAAAAAATTCAAGCAAAGCTGAGTAATAAACGACCATCAATCCCTCTACTCCAGGACTACCTTAGCACCTCCACAGCTCAACCTAAATAAACCCGTGTCATGGGACCTGGTGCCACAAGACAGACAGAGGCACTGACGGGTAATGGAATCACGATCCCTGTACCCACCAGGGTGCTTGGGCAAGTCCCTTCCCCCCTCAGGCCTCTGCTCCTCCATCTTGACCATGGAGTATTTGGATCTCATGATCTTGAAGAGACCTACCAGTTCTGACATCCTAAGAGTCCAAGTTTCTTGCAAGTTGAAAACAATGACTTTTCTCTTGGCCTCTAGCTCAGGGCTAGGCACACAAGGCTCTAGATAAAGACCCACTGATAGGGGCTTCCTTGGTGGTGTAGTGGTTAAGAATCCGCCTGCCAGTGCAGGGGACACGGGTTCGAGCCCTGGTCCAGGAAGATCCCACATGCCGTGGGGCAAATAAGCCTGTGCGCCACAACTACTGAGCCTGCGCTGTAGAGCCCACGAGCCACAACTACTGAGCCTGTATGCCACAACTATTGAAGCCCACGTTCCTAGAGCCTGTGCTCCACAACAAGAGAAGCCACTGCAATGAGAAGCACATGCACCACAACGAAGAGTAGCCCCCGCTCACCGCAACTAGAGAAAGCCCACACACAGCCACAAAGACCCAATGCAGCCAAAAATAAAATAATTAAAAAAAAAAAAAGACCCACTGTTGGCAACTGACTTGAAGGGGAGACATTTTGATGAGATCAGGGAAGGGGCAGTTATATCTCAATCACAGGGCTCAGGCAGGGGCATTGCAGGTACAGGACTTTAGAGGGGAAAAAAAAGGTAAACCATCAGGGCTGAAAGCTACATGTCTAAAAGCCTGAAATAAGTGTACATGCCAAATGTGGTAGCAAGTTACGATTCCTGAGGATGGGGAAACCAAGGTCTCAGAGGCTGGAACTTGAGAGCTCAAAGAAGGGAGTTCTAAATTATGCCAAATCCTGTGGAACACATCAAAAGAAAAAGGCGTTCCTGGACAGACTCTAACCTTGCCCATGGCTCACAGAATCTGGCGAATCCAACTTCTAAAAATTGTAGCTGGCATCAAGTCCACCCAGGTTCCAAACGGGACTTTTTTTTCCTCTTAATTTTTTGTTTAATTTATTTAATTTATTTATTTTTGGCTGCGTTGAGTCTTCATTGCTGCGCGTGGGCTTTCTCTAGTTGCGGCGAGCGGGGGCTACTCTTTGTTGCAGTGCCCGGGCTTCTCACTGCGGTGGCTTCTCTTGTTGCAGAGCTCGGGCTCCAGGGAAGCCTCAAATGGGACTTTTGATTGAAGAAATTTCACTTCAACAAGGTCAGAAGAGGAGGAGGTTTCTCTCCTGCCACTAACAGGTGCGTGGCCTGGACCAGTCACTCCTCTCTGGGCCCCAGTAACAAGGAGAGAAGCCATTAACCTTAAGAGCCCTTCAGGCTCATACAGTGCTTGCATCCTAGCAGCTCTCCTGGGGGGCGGGGTTCTTTGCTGTCAAGGGGAAAGTCCTGGCATACTCCCCTGCTAAAACTCCAAGCACTAATTCCACCTCCCTGCCAGAAAGAGCTCAGGAATAGGAAACATTAGACAGATAAGGACAGCAGCCTTGAATGCTGACCTGGGGCAAGTTGCATCCTTCTCTGAGCTTCAGTGTCCCTTATCTGTAAAAGGAGACTCATCATCTTTTCTCCTACCCAAGTGGTGAGAGGCTTTCATTTAATAGCTAGTATGCACATACCCTAAAAAGATAAAGGATCCAAATCAAAACTATATACATAAGAGAAATGTAGGAGGAAGGGAAGGGGCAGTGGGAATCTGAGTCCAGTTTTAAAAAGCTCAATGGCCCAAATTTATGACAGGTAATAAAGTACAGACTGACGATGGTTCAACTTACAATTTTTCAACTTTACGATGGTACAGAAGCAATACACATTCAGTAGAAACTGTACTTCCTGTTTTGAATTGTGATCATTTTCAGGGCTAGCAATATGCAGTACCATTCTCTCTGGTGATGCTGGGCAGTGACAGGAAGCCACAGCTCCCAATCAGCCATGCGATCACGAGGGTAAACAACTTAAACCATCCTGTACCCAGACAACCATTCTGGTTTTCACTTTCAGTACAGTATTCAATATTCAGCACCTTATCACAAAATAGGCTTTGTGTTAAACGATTCTGCCCAACTGTAGGCTAATGTACATGTTTTGAGTGTGGTTAAGGTAGGTGAGGCTAAGCTGTGATGTTTCGTAGGTTAGGTGTATTAAATGCATTTTCGACTTAACGAGATTTTTCAACTTATGCTAGGTTCACTGGGACGTAAGTTGAGGAAGATCTGTAATAGAAAATGGGTGGGGGGGAACCCATCTTAATGGCCTACAAAGAAGCCAGAAGAAGGCTGGGGGAAGAAAAACGAGTTCACCAGCTTTTTCCTTCCAAGTCAGTTGTACTGCATCAGTGTTCCTGGAAACTGATTTGCATGGCAGTGGCAGAAGAGCAAGCATGATGGCCAGCTCGCTAAAGAGCTCTTTGCTCCAGACTCAGTGGAGGTAGTGTAGAAATGTGACCCTGGTAGAAAATCACTTGAAGAACAGCTAAAGAAAATGCAGTGACCTAGCCTGGAGAAGACTCGGGAAGAGGTGCTGGGCAAAGCAAAGCCTGAGAGCTGTTTGCACGTACAGGACTCTGTCTGGGTCAAAGAAGCCACAGGAAGAGATTGATACTAACTTAACAAGGGCTAACATGTACCGAGCTGGTCTTGTGTGCCAGGCCCTGTGCAAGGAACTATCCATGTTATTAACTCAGTAATCGCTCAGAGAAATGTATGAGGTAGGGGCTGTGATTAACCAAGTCAAAGGGTAGTTTCAGGTACACAGATTCCAAATCAGAAATCCTTTTAAAGAGTCAAAAGGAAACTGGTGCCAGAAGAGATCTGCACCAGGACAGGCTGAAGGCATACAAGAATACAGTGTATGTCACAACTACTAAGCCCACATGTTCCGGAGCCCGCGTGCCACAACGAGAGAGAAGCCCCGTGCCCTGCAATGAAGAGCCCGCGTGCCGCAACTAAGACCTGATGCAGCCAAATAAACAAATAAATATTAAAAAAATAATAATATGGTATAAAGGTAGCAATGCAAACCAGTGAGGAAAGGACTACAATATATGGAGTTGCAATGGATACACAGAAAGTTTCTATTGTTCTGTATGAAAACATGCAAATATCCACCCCCAAAGCAGGCAACAGGCATGAATGAACTGGTTATTCCTAAACAAAAATACAAAAGGCAAATAAACTTATGAAAGGACATTTAACAAATCTATGCTTCTTTTGCTGCTCTGGGATTCCAGGATTCCAAAATTATTCAGTTCCCTGAGCATACATGCCTCAGGGCCCTCCCTCTGGCCCATAGCACCTTCCCTCCAGCACCTCCCTGAACCTGCCCACCCCTGGGCTCACCTTCAGAGGATCTTTGAGGTACGCAGTGGTCCTGACCTCAGCACTGACGGTCATGTTCCCAGGAATGACAATGGGGTCAGGTTCCACAGTCAGGCTGTTGATCACCACAGGGTCCTTCCCCTCATCGCAGTTATCCCAGGAAAAGCTACTGAGCTGGGAGAGCTAAGGACAATAAGGCAGCAAGAAAAGAAGAGAAAAGAAAAGTTGACAAAAGGAACTGTCACAGGTTAGAAGGATTAACAGAGCAGTTTACTGACAGTGTGCCCATCGGCGAGGTACCTGCCCTCTATGAGCTTCATCTGCAACTCCACATCTGTAAACCTGGAATAACATCGGTCCTACCCATTCCATAGGCAGGACTAAACTAGAAGACAATCTCCCAAAAGTGTGCGTGAACTATAGAGCACAGAATCACAGACCTTGAACTTCAAAATAGGAGACTAACCATATCCATCTTTGGTAGATGCCTTCTCTGATCTCTCACCTCCCTGCTCTCCACTCCTCTCCAACTAGTCTTGGCATCTCCTTAGAGGGAGGCTTTTGGAGGATTCGGCTTTGCAGCCCATGCCCAGAACCTTACTCACGTCACAGCCCAGGCCCAATCCAGGGCCAGGAACAATAGGGAACACAAAACACAGTGGGAAACATAACAACATCTAACACCCTACCCTCAAGGAGGCACAATTAGCCCAGGGAGGGACTAGGACACACCTGAAAAGATCCCCAGTGGGCCCTCTGTTGAACAATCCCTAGTGAACAAACTTGCACAATCCTAACCAGTGCTTTCTGCAGTATGCAGGCCTCTCACTGTTGTGGCCTCTCCCGTTGCGGAGCACAGGCTCCGGACACGCAGGCTCAGCGGCCATGGCTCACGGGCCCAGCCGCTCCACGGCATGTGGGATCTTCCCAGACCGGGGCACGAACCCGTGTCCCCTGCATCGGCAGGCAGACTCTCAACCACTGCGCCACCAGGGAAGCCCTAACCAGTGCTTTCTTAACTCCCATTGCGCATGCCCTGCCCTGTCCCACACCCCACGTCCTTCCTCTCCCCTCTGCTGAGCCATATCTCCTCCTCTTCCTCCACATCCCCCAAGAGGTCTCCTGATTCCTTATTCCACCATCGCGTCCAACTACACATGACCACTGACTCCCCACTCCCACAGAACCCCGTCTATGATCTTTAACACTTCCTATACCATGCAGACTCTGCCCACCCACTCACACCTTTCCCAGCCCCCTGAAGGCCACCTGCGAGAGACTTTCAGCATTCCCACCACGCACATCCCATCTTAGAAGGAAAACCTGCCAGTACCAAGTCCCCAAGTTGACCCCCGTCATCAACACAGCCACGGGTAGGTGGGCCAAAAGAGAATACTTAACCCAGGCCAGGTGGACAGATTCTCTCTGCCTCCAATTTGGGAAGTGAGACAGAGGCAAAATCATTCAGAGGACTTTGGGCTTTGAGCTGTCATGGGGTCATAAGCTTTAAGTCAGAGCCAGAACACCCAGACTCATGACCAAGCCAAAGGGACAAGAACTAAGGGCTCTGCTGGTCTGTGGAAAAGAGAACAGAGTCGCCCCCTGCCTCCGGCCCCCTATCTAAATAGGCAGTGAGGGGGGACAGCCAGGGGCATGGTTTTAGACTAAGATATAGGTAAATCAAGGCTTTAGTTGGCAGGCATGGCTTGAAATCATAGCTCGACCCCCATATCATGTGACTCTACAGGCCAGTTTCCCCTTTGGAGCTGCAACTTCCACATCTTTTAAGTGCAGTCATTTCTGCTTTCCTCCCAGACCTGTTGCGAGGGTGAGAGCATGCACATAAAGCTCATAACACAATGCCAGGCACAAAGCATGAGCTGGCTCCCTAAATGACAACCATTAGACATCCCAGCCGCCACTTCCTGCCATTAGTTCCACGAGATTACCTGGAATAAACTTCCCTTTACTTGAGCTTCTTGAAATGGGCTTCTGTCCCTTGGAATGAAGCATTGGGCCATGACTAAGAAAGGCCTGATTCATCCCTGCATTGCCCACAGCCCCTTAGACAGGGTAGGTACCAACAAATGTTTCCTTCAACATTCATTCCGCAGATATTTATGAAACAGTGATCACAGGCCCGGGGCCAAGGGCTGTTCACAGAGGTAAACAATTAGAAATGTGCCTGCCCTTCGGTGAGGAGCTTACAGTCCAATGTAAATGACTATTACCCACTATGATCTCTGGGTGCCATAAAAGAAACAAACAGAGGGTCGTGTTGAGAGTAACAAGACTCACTTAAATAGGGTGATGAGGAAGTTATAATCCTGCAGGATGAGGAGTCAGCCACGCAAGTACTGAAGGAATGTCCAGGCAGAGGGAACATGGGCAAAGGCCCCGCACCGGGAAGATGCTCAGCTGCTCTGGGCCCTGCAAGGCCAGTGGGCTAGATGTAGTGGATGAGGCACCCAAGTAAGCTTAGAGGGGTGGCAGGGTCATTTAATTCCTGCCAGACCTCATAGGTCATCCTCAGGAGGCTGGATTTCCTATAAGTGCAATGGAACGCCATTGCAGGAGAGGGCCACGCTCTGGTTTATGGTTGAGAATGGACTGCAGAGGGTTAAGTTTAGAACACGGGAGATCAGTTAGAAGGCCACTATCAAATGAAAGCATGCCTGGGATTAAGAGTTGGGCTGGAGGGTGGGTAGGAGGACTAGCCATCTTCTAGAGCTGCTTTTACAAATTCCAAGGCAGCCTGATTCACAGCGAGGATTGATTCCAGGCTGGAGGAAGTGTCCAGAGTACCCCGCTCCTCCTGCCCTCAGGCTCTGGGGAGACTTAACAAGGTGGTTTCTCAATGGCTGACTAGAGGCTTCTGTCGCAGTGAATTCTGCAGCTGAGTCCAGTCTCATCCGGAAAAGGAAGCATGATGTGTTAGCAATGCCCACTAAGGGCAGGCCTGGCACCAGATACTTGTCATCCCAGCCTAGGCTAACGTGGGAAGAGGCAACGTATAGCAGAGGGCAAAGGCACAGCTGTGGAGGCAGAAATATGCGTCCAAATCACAGACCTGGATTAAAACCATACCTCAGCCACTCTCACTAGCTGAGAACATGCGTCAGTTGACCCCTCTTGAGGCTCAATTTCCTCATATATTAAATGGGCATAACTATATCTTCTCACAGGGCTACTGTAAGAGTGAGAAGTTTGTATACAGAAAGTACAGGTCACAACTCCTCGACACTGTCACGGCCATGAAAACACAAGTCTGAGAAACTGTCACAGACCAGAGGAGACTGGGGAGACAGGACAACACATGCAATGTAGTGCCCGAGACTGGATCCTGGAACAGAAAGAGGATGTTAATGGGAAAACTGGTAGAATTCAAATAAAGTCTAGAGTTTAGCTAGTGGTCATGTACCTAAGCTGGTTTCTCAGTCTTGACAAATGTACCATGGTAATACAAAATGTTAACATTAGGGGAAACCGAGTGAGGAGTGTGTGGGAACTCTGTACTGTCTTTGCAACTTTTCTGTAAGTCTAAAATTACTCCCCTAAAAAGGTTTATTAGGGAAATAAAGAGCAAAGCACCTGGCTCAACACATAGCACACAGTATGTGCACAATAAATGACATTAGACAGTTATCAGAGAGTCTATTAGACAGTTATCAGAGAGTCTATTAGACAGTTATCAGAGAGTCTATTAAGTACCTATTTTGCACCCAGCCTGGGGCTAGACATTCTCCCCTTTTATCTAAGGATCACCACAGCCCAGGGGCATGAGACTGGGTTAATGCTTTTGGAGGAACTGGAACTGCCCGTTTCCTGATGCTCAAACACTCACTATCACCCCACAGCCTTCATGTGGCCCAGGGTTTCAGGGTAAGGTTCCGCATCACATGAGCCCAGAGAAGACCCGGTGATAGCAGATAAGAATGGAAAGTGCCCCTTGCTGTGTAACCTCAGATGAGTCCCCCATCCTCTATGGGGCTGGGTAAGGTGGGTGAACTCCCTGATGTCTCATGGCCTCTCTAAAACTGCCAACGTAAGACCCTCTGGTCTGGGACGGCATCCAGAGCCAAGACGTGTAGGAGAGCGGGGATGTAGGACTGGTTCCAGACTTAGCCACACCACCTCATAGTGGTCAGACCTGGAGCCAAGAGGAACATTCTCAACCTACACTCAGGGACTAACTGTGAACCCTCCGGGCCAATAAGGCCAAGAGTTCTTTGCTCCTCCATTCAATAGGCAAAATAGACTCCTTGCCCCTGGGGCAGGGTGAGGCCGAGCCCACTGGCTTCTATCACTTTATGAGTTTAAGATATAAGAGCTTTTCCATCCACGGAAGCATTTCCCTTCACCCACAACCATCAAAGAAAGGCAGGTTGGCACTATCCAGCCCATTGTACAGATAAGGAGACCAAGGCTTAAGGAACCCAAATGCCACTCCCATGGATTAGAGACAGAGGAGGAATCAGAAGCCAAGCCTCCTAGTCCTATCCCACTTTCCCTCACACCGCCCTGTTCCTGGCTCTGACAAATATTTCCAAGGAGGTTGGCAGGAGGGGACCTAGGCTGGGCCTCTCTCTTTGACTGCTGCCAGAGATACCAAGTGTCTGGCCCCCAGGTATGCAGCAAAGAGGAACTAGGCTTCTCTACTTCTCAGAATGACAGAACTTCCCCTTTCCCAGGGTCTGGAGCATAGGGTGCGTGAGAAGATAAGGGAGAAGCTTGTAGGCTGTTGCCTCTGCATGCCTCACACCCAGGAGCAGGGCTGCACCTTTGTCGCCAGAGGAGCAAGTATGGACCTTCTGGCCTGAAAAGCCTCTCAAACCCACCCACCCACGAGGAGGAGCAGCGCCTCAGAGCAGTACAGAGGGGAGGGAAAAGGTTCCAGGCATTTTCATGGCGGAAAAGAGAGGGCACGTAAACGGGGCTGCGTCTCTGGGCCTGGGATTAGAGCCTTGGTCTTGCAGTTCCGTAAAATTTCACTCAGACGTTTGGAAAGAGGACAGGAGTACAGACGGGACTGAGATTAACCCTTCCAAAACAGTCTGGAGCAGAGCAAAGCCTTACAGCCCACCCCTCTGTACAGATGGGGAAACTGAAACCCGCAGAGAGCAAAGGACCCACTCAGAATCCCACAGTTAGTGACTTTGGGAGGCTCTGCTGAAAAGAAGTAATTCTAGAGACCGGAAAGGCCACCCCCATATCCCACCCCAGCCCGCACATCCCGAGCTGGGCTGGGATGCTGGAAGCAGCCTCCTAAAGGATAGGATGCTCACCCGGTTCGAGAAGACGCGTGCAGCAGCCGCTGGGCCGGCGAGAAGCAAGCCTAGGGAGATGAGGAGAGGAGCCTGCATCAGAGGGTTCATCGCAAAGGGTGAGTCCTCACCGGGTTAACTACAAGGTTCGTGGAGGCGACGACGCCTTTAAATGCCTGCCTGTATTGGTTATGCAAAGCTGTGCATTGCTAGGCAAAGCTGAGTGCGGCCACTTCCCCGTGCGTCCCGTCCCCTCCGGATCTGAGATTTCGGGGCCGGGGATTGGACAGAGCTCTCCCGGATCCGCCCCGCAAAGGTTCCTCCTTTAGCCCCGCACTTCGCCCGTGGGCGACAGGCCCCGCCTTCAGTGGCGAAGGCAGAGCCTGAGGAGAAAAGGGGCGGGTTGAGTACGGGGCGGCGCGGGGCCGGAGCGCGAGGGAGGGGCGGGGCTGTTGTTTATGAACTCACGCTGTGAACCGTCGCTGCTGGAAGGGCCGTCATGTTTTCGTTCGCCCAAGTCCTTCTTGACAAAAATATCATGCTCCCTGTCGATACTACGCTTCCCCTTAGCTGTGTTACAAATCACTGTGTCTTTTAAATAATTATTTTAATGATAATGATAATTTTTAGTAAGTGCTTTAATGCATGCCAAGCGCTGTTAAGCACTTAACGAGGGAATCCATTTTTTTGCTCCACTTTACCACTGAGGAAACATACATGATAAAGCAGGTTAGCTTTGCCAAGGTCACACAGCTAAGAAGAGATAGAGCAAGGATTCTGCTTATATATACCTCATCAGCCAAGATTTCCCTAAGCTACTACACTTCGTAGTTGAGGTTTAATTTTTTTAAAAGCAATGGGGACCCTATTCCTGCCAAATTACCATTAGATCGTAAACCCCACAAGGGGTGGAACCATGACTTCTGGTCACTAGTAATGTGACACATAATAGGCAATCTTTGTTGAGTAAATGAACGCATCAATAGAATTTAAAACAACCTAATCATCTTTTAAAAGAAATTTTTAATTTTGGAATTAATTTTAGATTACAGAAAAGTTGCAAAAATAGTGCAAAACTCTCTCCTAGTTTCCCCATTGTTAACATTAAGATATAAGGGTATTTTTTTATAAAAACTAGGAACCAGCATTTATTAACTAAGCTCTAGACTTTACCTGATCTTTTAATATGCTTTTCTAATTGCACACCTTCCTCCCATTCTTCCCTCTCTCATCTAGCACAACCTCTTCATTATACACAAGTGCAATTTCAGGCCCCCTGAGTGAGAGGACTTGTCCAATGTCACATAGCAGAAGCAAAACTAGAACTCACTTCTCCTGAGGCTGTTCCCTCAGAGCTATAAGTGGTGTCAAACTAATGAAAGGGTTCATGCAATCAAGCACACATCTCGGTAGAAGGTTGCTGCTAGTCACAAAGAACAGATATCTTAGTCAATGGTTTTAGTGCTTTTCTAATTACAGGAAGATGCAAGAATCAGGTTCATAAAAATTCTTCCTGAACATATCTAAATATCTAAGGCCTGTTCTGTCAGTTTTCCCAGAGCACAGAGTGTCTCATCCTAATCTCCTCCCTGAACCCCTTTCAGGCTGCACTGTAGGTAGAACTGGATGGTGGGCAACATTCTTTGTTTTACTCTTTACTTGCGGATTGCTTTTCTTGAATAGACCCTAGTTTTTGTGGAGGTGGGGTAGGGTTATAGGAATGGGGGCAGGGCCTTTATTTTGTCTGACTTGAATCTGTAAATATTTTTTGAATGAGTGAATAGCTTAGTACTGGGAGGTAGTTTGTTGCTGTTATTATTATTATTATTAATCCTTGTTTTGCAAATGAGGAAACTGAGCCCAGAGAGGTTAAGGCCCCTGCTCAGGCTCTTACAAGACAAGCCTGGGTCTGCCTGACTGGAAGCAAGCACCCTGAACAAGCTACTGTCCTGTTCTTTCTTGCATCTTCCTTATGGTCTTGGTTTCCAGTCACTGTGTCTCTGGCTTTGCACAATCTCCTCCAAAGCCCTCCAGATGGAGATGTCAGGCACTCTAATTCCCAAGGGATGTGCCCCCTCATTGAGAGGTTCTCCTAAGTGGCCAGGAGATTTGACCTTTTACTGCCCAAGACCATTGACTTCTTGTGTGAAGGAGTGTGCCTGAGGCTGAGAGAATGGAGACTTTAGGAGCTGGGAGGAAATGATGTAGGGCTGCACCCCGAAGTCCTGCAGTCCTTGCAGTCGCCCAGCCATGAGACTGAAGAAAGAACCCAGAGGGAGTCAGGGGCAGAGGCATCAACTATTGGACAGGGAATCTTGCAAGTCAGAGGCAAATGTCCTGGAACGACCCCCCACTGTGTACGGATGGCAGCTGGCAGGGCACAGCTGCAATCTCCGCTACACAGGGGAGGAGGAGGCTATTAGTTACAGGGGGCATGACGTCAGAAGGGCTCCTTAGTTGCCAGGGGGACTGTTGGAGCCTCCCTCCCTCCCCGCCCAGCTCTTTGGGTTAGTAACCCTTGCAAGGGGGCCACTGTTTCCTGTTGATAACTGAACATACTGGAGCCGTTCTACTTCGAGGACTAGAAACATCATTAGCTGCGTGTCCAGCCGATCATGCAGGTAGTTGCTGATTAACCTTTCACCTTATACATATACACAATGGAATATTACTCAGCCATTAAAAAGAATGAAATAATACCATTTGCAGCAACAGGGATGACATGGAGATTGTCAGTCATACTGAATGAAGTTACGTCAGACAGAGAAAGAGAAATATCAAAGGATATGCGGAATCTAAAAAGAAATGATACAAATGAACTTATTTACCAAACAGAAACAGACTCACAGACTTAGGAAATGAACTTCTTGTTACCAGTGGGGAAGGGTGAACAGAAGGGATAGTTAGGGAGTTTGGAATTGACAAAATAAAGGCCCTGCCCCCATTCCTATAACCCTACCCCACCTCCACAAAAACTAGGGTCTATTCAAGAGATGTGTGCTTGATTGCATGAACACTTTCACCAGAATTACACATATACTGACCTCTCCCCCAACTCCCTCCACCTCTTCAGAGCAGTTCCTCAGGACTGAGAGGCTGTCTCCTCGGCTACAGTCCTCAGTAAGTCCCCAAAGAAAACTGAAACTCACAACTCTCATTTTTGGGTTTGTTTGATTGGTTGTTTTTTTTTTTTCTTAGTTGACAAGACAAACAAGATACTATCCAAGAGTATTAATACCAAAAGACAAGAAATCAGGTTAAAGTAATACAAAGTGCAGGTGGTCAGCATTCTTGAGTCTAATAACTCTCAGACCATCTGGGAGAAATAGAAACATCTGGGAGAAGAGCCATTGTAAAATTTTAAATGGTCCAGACCATCAGGCCATCATTCTTAGCCAGGACTGCACACTGCACTTCTCTGCAGGGCGTTTACAATCCCCAATCGCCAGGCCATACTCCGGACCAACTACACCTAAATCTCTGGAGGTGGGACCCAAGGTTGGTTTTTTGTTTTTTTTTTAATCCCAGATGATTCAAATGTATGACCAAGGTTGACATAAAGCATCTGGCATACAATAGACACACATGTACCTAAAAGTGGCAATTACGGGACTTCCCTGGTGTTCCAGTGGTTAAGACTCCACACTTCCACTGCAAGGGGCGCGGGTTCGATCCCTGGTCAGGAACTAAGATTCTGCATGCTGCATGGTGCGGCCAAAAAAAACCCCAAACAAACAAAAGTGACAATTACTAAAATAAGACCATTATCCTTGAAGAACCCACATTCCAGGAGTGATGGGTTGCAACTTGAAAGTTGTTGCCACTCTAATGTTCATCATCATGGGCTTCCTGGAGGAGCAACTGGGTCTGAGCCCTGGAATAACATGGCTCAAGATGACCTCCCAGCCTTGCTTGTGTGTGATTGGAGACCCAGTGTGAGCGTAAAGCCTGGTGTGGGAAGTGCCCTTGTTGCTGAACCCAAAGGTCACGCACCAGGCCAAACAAACTGAAACACTGGAGTGTGGAGCTGAGAAAGTTTTATTGCAGGGCCAAGCAAGGTGAAGAGGCAGCGCCTGCTCAAAAGACCAGAACCTCCCAGTGGTTTTCAGGGAATAGTTTTTAAAGGCAACATTTGGGTGCCGGCTGCAGGGTGCATGACTTTCTTCTGATTGGTTGGTAGTGAGGTCACAGGGTGGTGTCCCAGGAATCTCAACCATCAGCCTCCTGGCTCTGACCAGTCTGGAGTCTCAGCATGTCCTCACCACCCTCCATCTGGGTGGGAGCCTTAGTTCTTGCAGAACAACTCAGAGACATGTGTCAGATTGTTGTGTCCATCCCCTGAGAAGCTAGGACTCTGTTTCATCGCTGAACTACTTTTTGCTGGCTACTTTTCCTTTGTTTTTGCACTCCCTCACTTCCCTGATTAGTAGCTGCTTGAATCTGCTCTTTGGAACTCAGGGAAGGTCTAGGAGACTAAAACCCTTTTTCTACAAACAAGAAACGGGGGACATGGAAAGGCTGTTGTACCCGGGAGTGTCCCGCAGGGTCCTGCTCAATTTCAGATTTAGTGAGGAATGCTTACCACCTCAAATGCATATGAAGATGTCACAGACAGCAACACAAGCCTCAAATATCATTTGTTTGTCTATGTAGTGTTTCTTAGAATTTTTACTTTTTTTTTAAATTGAAGTATAGTTGGTTTACAATATGTTAGTTTCTGATCCAGAAACTATATACATATAGTGATTCAGATGTATATACATATATATGTATGTATTCTTTTTCAGATTCTTTTCCATTATAGGTTATTACAAGACATTGAATATAGTTCCCTGTGCTATACAGTAGGACCTTGCTATTTACCTATTTTATAGATAGTAGTGTGTGTAGTTGGTTTTTATCTTGGTTGTCAGTGTATAATAAAAGCAGGTGATTTCTCATTAAATTATGGACTTCCAGCTTTCCTGAAAAACTCAGAGAATCTGGAAACACTGGCCTGCATTTCTACAGGGCAACAGTCTGTTGAAGCTGAGTTGTCACTGATGGGATTCTGCAGCCTCCAACAGCCCCTACAAGCTGTGCATCTCTCACTTTTGTTACTGCCTGGTCTCTGTGGCTTTCAATCCCAAATTTAGCCTGGACCTCTGGTTTTAAAATCTTAACTCTTTTTGTTATTAAAGGTTTTTTGTTTGTTTGTTTGTTTGTTTGCGGTACGCGGGCC